TTTAGGTGAGTGTGTATATATATATATATATATATATATATAAATAAATGTCAGGGCCCCACTGTGCATGAGAACCACATCTTGACACTGAACTCACAGTTCCGTATTCATTCTGTTTCTTCTGACCACAGGCTCACACTTAGTGTCTTTTTTATACCTTAGAGTTTATATTTCTCCACCTTAAATATTTCACATTTGTATTATTTTTTGTAAAACGTTAGGAAACAAATTCACATCACGCAGGTAATTTCTGGAGGATGGAGCTGGGACTGAATCGGCACCATCAACATGCAGCAGACAGGAGAGCCAGAAAACGTATTGCAGTTTTCTGAAAGCCGAACATCAAAACAACGCTTCCTAACATGTATCATACATATAGAAATATTTAAGAAACATTTCGAATAAATAGATTCATCTATCAACTATTTTGGTTTGAATAATCTTATGTACATAATTGTCCTCCAGAAAATTGAAACTAAATTGAAATTTATTTTATTTTGACAGCAATATACCGTATGTGTCACGCCCACGCAGGCGGCACCCGGCAGCTCCTCCCAAGGAAGCCTAATTAGGGAGCAATAAAGGAGGGGAGAGATCGGCAGAACAATGCGAAGTATTGCGCCGATGTCTTTCGTCTCCCTTAATCTCCCGTACCTCTCCCATTTGCCTGCTGTTTTGCCCTTGACTCGCCTGCTTTCCTTTCCTAGCCCAGCTCCCGCTCCTGATCGTCCCGTCTCGCTGAGCCCAGCTGTCTGCATCCTCCCTTCCCGGTGTCACCCAGTCCTGTGCTCCATTGTCGGATGGATTCCCCTGGCTTTCGACCTACGCTCTCCTCCACGACCATTTTTGTTGCTTAACCCTTTTTGTACCTCGGCCAGCTTAACCCCATTAAACCCCTTTGTGCCCCACATCTCTGGATCCGAGCGTTTTTCTGTGCAGGCTCGCCATAGTATGTCATTTTAGGGTTTTAGATAACGAGCACTGGATTTTCGGTAATATACAAATGTCTACTTACACCTACAGTTTGGTAAGCAGGTTAGTAGTGTGCCTAAAATATTAATGAGATGCATATTGTCATGCCCAAAATTTTGTAATCTGTATAAATTCAGCATATCCTTATGTTTAATAAATGTTGTGGACTGCAAAAATAAGTGGTAGAACATGAGTTTGAAACTGCTCCAAAATATACAGGAGTGCTACTGTGGTACCA